ATGACATGTCTTGTTTATTATTGGTCCCTTCTTTGGATATCTATATATGCCTATTCATTTTCTGATTCGATTTAAGATAGTTAAACTATTGAGACTGTGTCATGACACGTCTTGTTTATTATTGATCCCATCTATGGATATCTATATAAGCCTATTCATTTCTTGATCCGATTTAAGATAGTTAAACTACTGGGATTGTGTCATGACATGTCTTGTTTATTATTGGCCACATCTTTGGATATCTATACATGCCTATTCATTTTCTGATCCGATTTAAGATAGTTAACTATTGGGACTGTGTCATGACACGTCTTGTTTATTATTGATTCCATCTTTGGATATCTATAGATGGCTATTCATTTTCTGATCCGATTTAAGATAGTTAAACTACTGGGACTGAGTCATGACACGTCTTGTTTATTATTGATCCCATCTTTGGATATCTATAGATGGCTGTTCATTTTCTGATCCGATTTAAGATAGTTTATTATTGTCCCATGAACACACAAACTTTGAGAATGATCACTATACCTTTATAACTGTGCATTGGTTTGGCAATGACATTACACTGACACATTACAACTGAATTATTCAACATACCACATTTTAAAATGTAAATATTAGATTACCAATAGTCAAACATATTGATAATTAACCCTCTTCCTGAAGCTTCATTTAGGTCTTGGGACTATAATTTGAAAAATAAAATACTGACTGGTTGAATATTGATACAAATCTTTCTTTCATTATACTTTCTTTCATTCAAAATAATTACACCATTGACTTTCTCCTGTCTACCGGGCAGACCTCATTGAGTTCCTTTAACATGCCTTGCCACTTTGGGCGATTGATCTATTTTGGGAAGGCGACAGAAAGAGTTGTTTGTGTATGTGATTGTCAGTCGCCATCCTGTATCCCACATCAACACTTTCTTTAAAGGCGGGTGGTTGTTGTGCAGTCTGTTTTTGAATTTCATGTAAACAAACAATGTATTTTACACACGTTGTATACGCTGGTATGAGTCCCATATCAAACAGGACGCAGCGCGAAAATATATACATGAAAACCACTAACTCTATTGCTTTTATATTTGGTACTTATGTCCTTTGAGATTTGATGGTTTTGTCACGATATCTTCAATTCAAGGAATATTTTTGGTTATCAATTATTCATTACTTTTGAAAATCTCAACTCTTATTGGTTTTATACTTGGTATATATTGGTATACTTTAAAAATTTAGTGAAAGGTTTTTTCTAATTTTAGCAAATATATAAGTATTGGACACCTTGGTGATGTATACGATTGGCTATACTTAGTATTTAGTTTACGATTGGTCAGATTGGTTTAAAATTGATCATATTTGGTCTATGACTGGACAAAATGATTGTGACTGGGAATGGTTAAACTTGGTCTATTGAATATTGATGGTCACCATTTCTCCAATATTTGCTATACTTGATTAAAGATCAATTGTACTGATCTAGAATTTACCATAATTGTTTTAGGGTTGGTAATACTGTAAAGGGGTTAATTATTCACTGGGTTTTAATTTTGCTTATTTCGCTGACTGGAAAATGTGCTAAATTATAACCCAGTGAATATGTAAAATTTAGCATAAAAAACATTATCTGAATGATAAAACTGTGAATTTAAAACCCACTGAACATGCCTGAAATGGTAAATCAGTGAAATTTAAATCCAGTGAAAATTGTCATTTTATAGTATTTAGTCTATAATTGGACACTCTAGGAATTACATTTCTCTGTGTCACCTATTCAGCTACATCTGCTCTTAGGACATCAATATGGATACTTTACATACCAAGTGATGATTTAAATTCACCATTCTTTATAACTACTTAGCTTGGAGTAAGGTATAAATATACTAGTGCTTGCATTGGAATGTCAATACGAGCATGAACAATTTGAAAACGAAATCAAATCTGTTAAACTAATGTGATAACATCTCACACAATGTTTTACTTATTCATGATTTTTATTTTGAATGCAGTCCGGAAACTGGGACTTATAAATTGTCTTCCGTGCAACTAGCACATGGTTGTACAGGAAAGTCACACATTTTCCCCATTCTGGAACTAGATCTGGTTCAAACTTTGTACATACATTGAAAACAACGAGACATTGATGCCGGTCATTTTATTTTTCGAGTCGGTTAACAATGGCCGATCGGTGAACATTCTGTATAAAAGAATGCAATTCCAGGTCCATATTTACACAAACATTAGACATATTGGGAATATGCACAGACATTTGTTTCATGATCTGATTCAAGATTGTCTAATTTTAAGGCCAAAATGCTTCAAAATCACACATTTTCACTATTCTTGATCTAAGTCAATGTTTAAACTTGGTACATATTTTGCACACAATATAATTTTGAGAAATGGTGGCCATTTTGTTTTAAAGAATGTAGTTTAATTTCAGTTCCATATTTCTGGAGTGATACATCATATATCTATATCTGCACATGTAATTTTTCTTCATCAAGTTCAAGATGGCTGACTGGAGGCCATCTTGTTTAAATGAATGCAGTTTATTGACATTGCATACTTGTCTGGACCAATAAAGTTTATTTATTGAGCTACAAATGTATTAAAATTCAAAACAATTTGAAAGATTGATGTGGTGTATTACAAAATGTAAAATGCACAGATATATGCACAGACTTGTCATTTGATATATCACAAAATGTTTTTGAAGTACGTCTGAAATTTTATACCTGAAAATCAAAGGAATAAGATGGTTACGTCATCAATTCTTTTAGTATAATATATAAATTAGTTGTGGAATAACCACAACTTGTTGATGTTTTCATACTTTTCTCCATTGGAAAACATTATGGCAGACCTGAAAATACCAGTATGGTAGTATTGAAGACTTGTGTAGGCCTTGTTTATTATTTTCATTATTAATTGCATCATTGTTTTACCTTAATGTGCTGATAAAGGGTGAGTCATTTCAATGAGCGATGAGTATCGGCTGGTATCTAGGCATATTTAAATAAATAATTCAATTTGAAATCTGTTTTCAGAATATTTCTACATAAAAACATTTCAATTATGATGTATAACACTATTGGGTATAACATAATTTTCATTTTGGGAAATTTTCAAAAAAATTGGAACTAAAATATTGCAAAAAGTATTAATATGAACTATGATTTCATTTAATATTTGGATTCTGTAACATTTGATGTATCGCATGATGTTTTTGAGTAGGTTGAACAATTTATGCATGAATATCAGCAATTTAGAGAATGACGTCATTTATGCAAATGATATGCAAATTGGGAAATTAGTTAGGTGATAAATAATACAACAGAAAACATGTATCTTCTGTTATCGACTCATAGTATAATATGAAATCCTCAAATTCGCAGCGGATATTAAACAGTGTTGCTTTTGCTCAGAGTTTGAGGAAGACGAAGAAGTTCAATGTTCTGGTTCATACATGTCCATCCCCGCATCACGAGTGTACGAGTCCTCACGTGTCTAGACTGAAATACGATTATGATGACTCGTCCTGTTCTCCCATTGGTTTCAGTGTCTCACGTGCTTCTTTCAGGCGACTCACCAATTCAATAACATGGCGGACGGATTGGCACAGATTATTAAATAAAATGGAACAGTGTCGATATTTTACGAGGACATGTGACAAATATAATACAGTGAAACTCCACTGATTTTCTCTGAGCATATTAATAATATTGCTATGATAATAAAATATTTTGATTTATTTCCATTGAAGTTTTCGACTCGCCGTACACTCTCGAATCAGTCGTTACCTAGCTACTGTCTGTCGCAGCTTGTACTAAAATGATCACAGATGACTGGGGCGAGTGTGAAGACAGCGTTCGGTTCGATTCGCGTTCGATTGTCGTACGTTTCGCGTTCGATTTGTGTTCGATTGAATTACAAATTGAAATATCTATAATTTACACAAAAGTTTATATATAGAATATTTTGTGTAGCAAATATGGGGATCATCCTATTTCTTTTAGAGAAAATCATGGTTATAAATAGTCATACAGTCTCGCTCACATCGGAAGTCACGTGGGCTCAAACAAGTATAAAATAGCCCTAGAAACAGACAAGAAACGCATAAATATGTTTAAAGAAAATGAATCTTATGTAAAAAATTATAGGGTCACAAATTATCACGACTCAATTTTAAAACAAATAAAATCTTTGAAACAAGGACGTTAAGGGACGACGTCAAAAGATCGATGTCGGATAAAAAAAAACTTATTTTCTTTAGTTTGGGGTGACCTCAAAAGGTTTCCATCCTACAAAAACGATTTTATCTTTTAATGAAGTCGAAATAATCTTGGAGTATTTGTAGTTCGTTTTAATAACAGAAAATGAAAAAAACAAAACATCCAAGACGAGAAAATGGTTTGGTCCGAGTGTAAATATGTGCTTCCAAGTCAAATAAGGTCAATTTCAGGACATGGACCTCGAACCAACTACTATGCCATACTACTGTCCGATTATCAATTTGTATTTAACGGTGATTGTAGTCTGACGCCATGATCAATATTTATCAATTAAGTTTCAGTGGGGGGGGGGGACTAAATGTATTAAGTTTTTTTATCCTACATTGAACTTTTGATGTTGTCCCTGATGATGGTGTTTTTATTTATAATCATTGCCCTTTGACTTTCCGCGAACTGATACTAATAAAGTATTTATAACATTGATTTCCACAGAAAATACTAAATTGATCTCTATTTCCCGCTCAAAAATACTGTTAAATTATCGGAAATTGCTTTATATCAACATATGAGTGAATTATAGGTATTTCATTCGACGTTTCAATCGTACGTGAATCGAACGCGAATCGAACCGAACGCTGTCTTCACACTCGTGGTGGCTGGGAACTTTTTTTCTGGCAGGGACTCTAAAATGCGGACTGATTGGAATCGTATACACAGTAATCAAGTTTGAAACTGAGACAGTATATGACCATAGCACCGACGAGGCAGTTAAGTTGAACATTGTACAAAACATCCATCCTCTAGCCGTATATTACAAAACCAATATGCGAGAAATTGTTCATTTACAAGCAGGGCAGTGTGGAAACCAAATCGGCGCCAAGGTGAGTGCTCTAATTATTCTGCGATTTTAATACAGAGAGTGCGCGATTCTGTAGATGAAATAGCCGGTAGATGGAATACACTCATTTTTTCACCGAGGGAAAAAGGCGTGGTTTGTCCCGCCATGTGCATCTCCCTCTTTTTTTTGAGCTATTTAACAGCAAATGAGTTTAATAATACTAATTTAAACAAACGATCAAACTCATTATTGAAGTTAAAACCAATGTGCTGGCGATTATTATTTGCAACCTTTCGATTGCCTCTTTGTGAAAACGCACAGTGAAATGTGACTGAAACTAGATCATTATCTGTGAGTAATATTGTATTAATAGTCTTGTGTGCCGCGAGACCAAATCGGTTTGGATGGCTCGACAATCCGGTCAGTTTGCTGCTCACGGTCTTTATGAACCGTCGGTATATAAGAGCTACGCTAAAAAACTCTCAAAAACCAGTCAATGAATTTAAACATTAATTGAAATTTGAATAAACTGCCATACTGATATCAAATATTTACATGAATACGATCACGTGATCGTTTTGTATCGACCAATCAATTCACATATATATATCTTGTTTTATGGTTAATAAATTATAAGATTGACTTTTTTTTTGAGTCATCATAATTATTTGATGGCAATCTTTTGTTGCTACTCTTTTATTTGCAACAAAAACCTGCAAAAGATTGATTAATGAATTCATTGTGATACATTGTGGTACTCGCAACAAAAGCATTACCTTCATCTTTATAAATATTTATTAATTTGAGAATTCAAACTGAAACGAGAGGTTTCAATTGGCCGATAAAATAACATTGAAACGCTGTTGAGTATTATGCTTGTTGATTGGTTGATTCCATTGAACTGCTATTGAAATTTATAAATATTTATAAAAGATGAAGGGAATGCCTTTGTTGGGCCAAGAGGCAATGATGTTTTTACTACAACTGCTATATATGCATAAATTAATTCTGATAATGATGATGATAAAATAATGAAATGATGTGAAGATAATTTTTCCTTGTTTTCACACTTATATTACAAACACCCCCTCCCCCTCCCTGAATTGTGATGTACACCTTTCAAACTATTGTGCATGAGGACCACAATCAAATCTATATTCTTGAAGTAGATTTTAACCAATCACAAAACACCTATTTTCTATTTATACATTTGTTAACAAGAAATCTCATATAAAACTGATTTGAACACTCGATGTAAGATTATCTCCAGGTGGGGTGATGGCAGAAAAACTGTGATAAATATTTTTTTCCTTAAAGTTAGTTACGTGCTGTTTCTGTTTTTTTTCATGTTTAAATTAGTTATAGTTTTTTTTTTTTTTTTTTTTTTTTTGCATTGTGTGAAATATTTTAAGATCTAAGCATGCAGAATTATATTTTTTTTCAATTTTTCCCCCAAAGTTTCTAGTGGTCAACCCCTTATGCTGAATATTAACAATTACTGTTGAGATGTAGGTACTGTGTGCTTATTAGCAGATTTTTTTCCTGCTAAATTATTGAACATACTTGAGTTGCGCCCTCCATGGTGCTCCTAACCCAACACATGCCTGACTGAACAATGTAGTTTTGACTTTGACGATTTTGGTAATTTGAACATGTTGGCATCATCCAGCTTTTTGATTGGTTAATTAGCGATTTGACCTATTTGACCTAAGAGAACATGGCGGATATCCTACAGCATCAAACGTTTATACGAGACCGGAATCATTCGCTTACGATGAAACTAAGTTGACTTTTATTTGTATTTCATAACCATTCAACAAATTTATTTTGTGTACATTATTATAATCACTACTGAGTACAGTAATAATCAACAATTCAGAAACGCAGCATGCCGAGATTTTTGTGTTCGTTTTTATTTGAAACTTCGTTTATTTAGAATATATTTTCGTTACCAA